AATGTGTGTGTTTGTGTGTGTTTTCCTGGTGCTCCGAAGCAGTCTAAAACTGCTATTTCCTGTTTAAAATGAGCAGAAACGGCGCGCGTGTCTCAGACCTCTGCAGGTGTGCGGGTTCTGGGCCTCGGCGGGCCTCCAGGGCAGGTCGTCGTAGAAATCTCTGCAGCGTTCGCAGTTCAGGCCCTCGGTGTTGTGGTTGCAGATGCAGCTGCCGTGGATCTGGGGCACGGCGACAGGTCAGGGTTTCTGAGGGCGGGCGGGCGGGCGGCGGGCGGTGGGCCGGGGGACTCACCATGCCGGCCTCCCCGGGGGCCACGCCCTCCACCGGGGCGCACTCGGAGGCGTGGCCGTAGCAGAAGCAGCTGCCCCGCACCACCAGCTCGTACAGGGCGTAGTAGTACTTCTGCAGCACGTCCGAGCGGCGGTCCAGCAGGTCGTCTCCCAGAGTGTTGAGCTTCGTGAAGTTGATCCGCAGGTTGGTGATGCGCAAAAGCTCTAAAAAAAAAAAAAGGAGACGAATAATAAAAAAAACTCGCTTTTTAATGAGGAACCGAAACTGACATCTTTGCAAAAAAAACATTTCAATTCTGGATTCAAAATAATCTAAAATGTGGATATAAACATGAAAACACGCTCTTGCCATTTTATTTCAAGCTATATTTCCTTTCTGTGTCTTTCTTAAGGACAAAATATGGACTGGAAGATTAAGAAAAATTAAATAATGCAGAAAAAGAATTGGCTGGGTTTTGATGAATTTTACAGAAAAACTAGATTTATTTTTAAAAGTTAATAATCTTGAATATCCCTCCACAATTTTTGGCATCCCTGCTTTAGATGTGGTTGAAGACTTCTAAAAATTCTCCCTCATTTTTTAAACAACATAGAACCCAAATGCAAAAAAAGAGAAAAATCCAACCATTTATTTAAGTACATTACGTTGGTGGTAACAATAAAATCACACATTTAGAAAATAAAAAAAGTGAAATCATGTATCCCACAATTATTGGCACCCCTGTTTAAGATGTTGTTGAGGACTTCTAAAAATTCTCCAAATACAAAGTATTAACATCAGGGGTTCCAATAATTGTGGGACACGCGTTTTCACATTTTTTATTTTCTAAATGTGTGATTTTATTTTTACCACCAAAGTAATGTACTTAAATAAAAAGGTTGGATTTTTCACATTTTTTGCATTTGGGTTCTATTTTGTTTTTAAAAAATGGAGAATTTTTAGAAGTCCTCAACCACATCTTAAACAGGGGTACCAATTGTGTAGGGCACTGTATATCTATATATCTTTGCAAAATGACTTATTATCTTAACTGGAGTTTGATCAAAGCTCCTTTACAAAACCTGTAGCTGCTGCAACAGGTTTTTTCCCCCGGCTCCTGACTTAATACCACAGCTCCTACAGTAGGTGTAGCTTTTGTCTGGCTTGTTTTCAGAAAGTAGGAAAGTGTGGCCATCTCCAGCTGTTGTTTGGCTGTACTCTGTATTTCAGCAAGCTTCGACACGACTATTGTTCTGCTGTAAGAGGAGCTGAGAGCAGAGCCAGGAGAGAAATGGAACATATGTAGGCTGAAGAATAAAAGCTCACTGAAGAATTAAAAACCTCCGAGGTTGGATGGATACGCTCTCGTAAAAAGAAAAAAAAAGAAAAGTGCACCTCAGTATGAGCTTTTATATCTACCAAGTTAACAAATGAGTCTTGTGCACACACTGACCTTGAATGTCGAGGCTGTATGGGTCTTTCACAGGAATGGCCGGATCCAGAACTTTGAAAATAACCTTAATCACAGAAAAAACATTTTTCCAGACATTCAGAGTTTGATTCTAGGAATAATGAAGATTCACTTCAAGTCGCACTGTTTCGTTCTGAATGTTTCTGAGGTCTTTTTTTTGCTGAGACGGAGGGTCTACTTTCTGGGCTATTCAATTCAATTCAATTCAATTTTATTTCTATAGCGCCACATCACAACAACAGTTGTCTCACAGCGCTTTCCAAACAGAGCAGGTCAGACCCTACTCTGAAGTTAACTACAGAAACCCAACAATTCCCACCATGAGCAAGCACTAGGCGACACAGGCAAGGAAAAACTTCCTTTTAACAGGCAGAAACCTTGAGCAGAACCATGGCTCAGGGTGGGGGGGGGCATCTGCCTCGGGCTACCTCTCCGTTGGTGGAGGGCTCGATGTCGGAGTAGCGCTCCTCGCAGATGACGTCGTTGATGCGCTGCAGCCCCCGGGCGGGAACGCCGGGAAACGTCCTGGTGCAGTTGGAGGCAAAGTAGCGGTACGGGCGCCACGAGCGTCCGAAATCTGCCGAGCGCTCGATGATCATAGCCGCCGGTCGGAAGGTCTGAGACAGTTTGAAGAAACTTAAATGAATTTAGACGTATTTACGCATAAGCTCAAACAGAAATCTGGTGTGTGGTGTTACAATACAAAGTGATTTATCTATCCTTTTCCTTAATGTTCTCATTATCTAAAATCAGATAATTGACCCTTTAAAGCCTTATTCAAGAACATTTTTAAAAAATTCTTTATTTATCCCTTGACCAAATTTGAAGGAAAAAAAACAGAAATCATTTTTAAATATTCATAATTTATTACATGTGATTAATAAAAAATATTGTGGTGTTGCCTTCTGCCTGCTGTTATTGGGTGTATATGGTTGTGCACAACAGGGTTTATTCACTTATTTTAGATCTATATATATACATAGTTACTTATATAAACTTATTTATATTCTGTGCTGAATTTTGTATATATATATATATATATATATATATATATGGATATAGACATGTATATATGTATATGCTGTTGTTTTATTCCTGGAGTTAGTAACAAAAATAATTACCCTCTGGGATTATTTCTGATTCTGATTCTGATTCTGACAGAACAAAGTTTTTTCCATTAAATGATGCAAAAGGTCCCCGATACAAAAAAGGTCAGAAAACCTGTGCATCAAATGTGATCCCCAGGGCATTGGAGGGTTAATTCACGGCTTGTGGAATGCTAAGCGGAGATTGGTAGGTGTACATAACAAACACGCACGTGTCTGGACTCGCTAAAACACACAAAGGGGGCGTGTGCACCTTAAACTTCATGATGAGATGTGTGAAGTGGAACTCCGCCTCGAGGTTCAGTCTGATGCTGACGTCCTCTTTCCCTGTGGTGGGGGGGGGGACTAAACTTTAGGAGGTTTCTTTAAAAAACAGGATAAAGGCGAGTGGAGTTTGGATACTCACCGTTGACCGACTGCCACCAGGTGGGGTCTCCGTTGGCGTCCGTGAGGTAGATCACGTTCTGGATGCGGTGGCTGTTCCTGTGGCGGTACGCGTCGTACGGACGCCCAGAGTCGCACTCGAAACACTTGTCCGGCTCCTGGGAGAGAGAAAAGACAACAGGGAGAAGCTGGGATTGAGCTGAGATAAGCTTCAAGTTCAAATACACAACGTTAGGGTCGGATAGAAACAAAATTCTGGCTTGTCTGGGTAGTCAGATGAGTCCAGTGACTGAGGAGGAGTGCTCCTGTCTAATGCCATTCACAGAAATCCAGAGATGGCTCAAATCAGGAAGCACTTCGGGCCTTTTGCTTTTTTCATTTGTCCAGGAAATGTGGCTCATTTAGCAAAACCTGTCACCCAGATTAGAGTTAGCAGAGTTAGTCGGTCATACCTGCTCAAATGTACTATCAGAGGAAAAAGCAGAGAAGCCTCTCTCTTATTTTCTTTTAAGTTTGGCATTTTTGCAAAAATGGATTTTTAAAAAACTATCCTGCAGAGTGATTGATCCACATCGTAGGTGTTACGTTACTATTAGGAAATCCTATAAAACTACCGTGGTCATGTGATTGTGTGTAAAATTAAACAAATGAATGAAAGTCAAAGAGGACAAGCTTTTAAGAAGAAAAACAGTTGGGGAGATGGTGAAACAATTAAGCAGAGATGTGAATCAAACCCTGAAAAGCTCCTGCCGTCAATGCTTCTCTGAATGTTTTAGCTACAGGAAGTCACTAGCCAGTCGAACCTGACCTTCTGTATATTCACAGTAGCAACACACAAATAACCTTTGGAAAAAGTCACTGTAAAGACAAGAATTGAAAAGGGACTGAACTTTTCGTGATGTACTTCAGGGGAAAGAAATGAACCCCGGTAAGAAATAATCAGAGAGCCTGAGCAGACCTCCATCACCTGGCTATGAGACGCCTGCCATCAAACAGAATAAAAACAGAAGAAAAGCATCAGTGGCTCAGGGGCCCGTGTGCAGGGGAGCAGGGGGGTGGGGGTGGGGGGGGACAGAGGGACGAGGGTAAGTTGGCACTGGGAAACTGCGGATTGTAGAGCAGTGTTTCTTAATTAGGCCGTTGTCAACGGTGATTAAGCCGCTGACAACGTCGCGGCTGTTGCGTGGACCCGGCCGGGAAGAGAGCGGGAATGTGCGTGACGTTGGGTACGTGCACGCCACAGTGTCTCCTCACCAGAGCACATTTTCTGAGGTCTTAATCTCATTTGCCCTGAGCCGTCCACAATGATGCCCATCAATGCTGCAAAATCCCAAGATTTCATTCATTTTTACAGTGTGTGTAATTGTTGCATTTATACTGTCTTATACATTATGTTCAAATATTATAAGTCTATAGTTTGTTATTCTTTTCAAGGGTACTTGTCTAATTGGAATTTATGTAAGTTGTATTTGTTTTATATGGTATTATTTAGTATAGAGTGGATTTGCTTTTGTTTTGAAGTTTAGAGAGAGCGCTTTTATTTTGAAGTCAATAGGAGTCTTGTCTGAGGTCTCCCGCGAGAAGCAATGAAGCCAAAATTAACGAGCTATTTTATTTATTTCTGTGCTTTGTATGTATTATTTCCTATGCTCTGCAGGTCATTGTTTGTCTCATTAATGTTTGTGTTTGCTAACTTTATTTCGTTTTCACGGTGGATTTGGAGACCCCAAAACGACTTCAAATAAACCAGTAAAAGAAAACCCACTTGAGTCTGCTTGTGCTTAGAGGGAATTATAGTGTGGATATAAAATATACATACATAAACATATTAAAAGTATGATTACCACAGGAGTTGTGTCTAATTTTAAAGAATGACCCTGTCAGATTCCTGTTCATTTTATCTTTAAAGAGCTCAGTGAATATGCAATCTGGGGCTGTATCTTCACTTCCTAACCTCCTCTAAGCTCTGATTCATCTCGCATTAGTCAAGCCCGGTCAGCTCAGCTAGAAGTTTTTAAGATTTCTTTTCCACACCGGTATGGTGCCTTAGTCTGTGTTGCTTTTATTAGCTAATCTTCTCTTTTTTTCTCAGTTAGCACCAGTTTAAGGCATTTACCACTTCTCGTCAAAACAGATAATTCAGTAAATGGGCTTTTCTGTGTACGAAAGGAAAAGAAAAAAAACCCGCATGGAGGCCATTCGATCTGGCCCCGCCTCAGAACGTGCGCACAGGGCGGATGATGGATGAACATGAGGACAACTGTTTTGCTCGGGCCTTTAAGGGGGGCTTCGACATGCCAGGCTGACACTGTATCCGGCTCCGTACCGTAGCAGGAGGCCTCCCGCCAGTCAGGGAATGTCAATTATGCTCACCTGGAAGTCGGCGGTGGTGAGCGCTCTCGGCCTTAGGCAATGGAAACGCAGGCCGCGACACGCAGACGCTCGGAAGTGCGCGGACGCGAGAGAAGCGAATGTAAACACGACGGGGAAAATGCCAGAAGGACTGTCGTGTGAGGGAACACAGCAAAGATCCATGCAAAGGAGAGCCCACCTGCACGAGGATGTGTGCTAAAATACGTATTTTTTAATCAAAAATATTAATTTCCTGTGCATTTCCTCTGGCACAGCGTTTACACTGAGGTACAGGACAATGAGCTCACTTTGATTTTAGAAACGGATATAAAAATATCTATATATCTATCTCTCTCTATATATATATATGTATATATAAATAATAAAAAAATGAAAAAAAAGGAGTTGTAGTGAATTTTTTTGCATTTTTGTGAGGTTCTGATAGTCTTTGTGGCCTCTCCAGCATGTTGAACAACGCAAAAATAAATAAAAAATAAATAAATAAAAAGAAACGGGTATAAAAATATCCGCCCCAGTGGCCGGCTGCTTCCCCTTTTTTCCTCATTTCTCACCTGCAGGTGACTGACGATGCAGTACTGCTGTGGCCCGTTCAGGCCACAGGTGGAGGTGGCGTTCAGGTTGACAGCCCGTCCAATCAGAAGGTTTCCCGTGGCCGGGTAACAGCTTCCCTCAGTGCAGCCGTGAGGGCTGGAGGGGAGCTCCTGTCCCAGGACACTGACACCTGGAAAATAGGGAACAAGTGATTAAACCAAAAGAAAACGTCAATCTTCTAATCCTACAAGTCCGTCTTTATACGCCTTTAACTTCAATCTAATCAGGAGCAGAATCAGGAGTAATTTGGAAGCTGAAACCTCTTTCAAAACTAGTCTGGAAAAAGGTTCTGCAAAGTTAGGCGTCTTTGTAGCAACTAAGAATATTTTTAAAGATGTTTGTATATAGAGGATACATTGCAATTTGAGATGTGATTTGAAATTTGGCCGTTTTTATCAAATTCATTGCAGATTCAATGTTTTATTACTCCCGTATCACTTATGGGTTAAGTAGTGATCTTTTTCTTTACTGACAACTGGAAGTCAAGCCGTAAAATACAGCCAATCTGGCCTAAATGTGTACCTAACAGTGAAGAATGTAGATTTATGATGCAGAAACCCGAAGTTTGTCAAAGTACCGTTTTGTAAAATAAAGTTTTCTAAGGAATTGAATATTTTAATAAATATAAATAATTTCTTAATGAAAAAAAACATTCATTTATGTACCCTGCATCCTTCTCTCAACCTTAGCTCTGCTTCCTTTGCACACAGAGGACTTTTTGGATTTTGGAATTTTGCAAAGAGTCGTTTTGAATCAAGACTCTTTCCAACTAACCTCTTTACATAATACAGTCACCATTCACAGTAATGGTTGATGTGTGTTATCTAAAGCTATTTTACACGGCTTTCAATAACTTAGCTTCAATCATTTAAACATTCTTCAACAAACCCCCTTTAAAAAGGGGGGTTGTTATTAATAACCTTTGTCACAATCACAAGTCAAGACTTCTCATTGTAAAAATGTGAGCGGCTACCACAAACTGTCTGAGGATGATAAACCTGTGAGGGTTTGTTCAACCTCTGCTGCAAACAGAAGCACAAACATGAAGCGGCACGATGGAGGGACACGGATGGTTTGTTGAGGAATCATAAGCATCCTCTGTGGGAAGAAAACAGACCGCTGCTGCGCTAAGCGTAAGCGGGAAGCGTCCCTCCAAACTCTGCTGGTTCAAATAACCTTCCTATCCGTCAGTGGTCTATCAACCCTTCAGAAAACGCCCAAAATGATCATTCCTGTTGTAACAATGGCACACGGGATCTCCAAACTAGCCCCAACTGCAGCACTGGGAGTCAATAACTGTTTCTAAACAGGTGTTTTTTCTATGTTTTGGTCTGATTCTGTAGGATAAACACAGTTTTAGTTCACAGAAATGTAAACTTCTGGAATATTTCTCCTAATGAAGATATTGAGAAGTTGCATAGTGCAGAATTGGCATGGAGAACAAATAAAATCGCTAGAAGGGGATTTTTTTTGGAAAGCCTGACACAGACACTGATGTTAGTTGCTTAATTAAACTGTACCAGCGACTGAATGCTCCTCGGTGTTTTTTCTTTGATGCGTCATACCGCAACACTTAGGAGCCAAGCCGCCACTCCCAGTTTACACCGCAGTGCAAATATCCACTTAAAGTGAACGGAGATGTTGGATCTGTTATTTTGTTTGTTGGGGCAGGCAGAGAATGCAGTTCTGTGGACCGGGTAGCGTGTCACACGCGTTTCAGGACGAGGCCAGTTTTATCCAAAGCACAATCGCCGTCCCAATGGATCCAGATAGACATGTTTAAAGGAAGCAGCAGAGTGCGTTACGCAGATTTCTGTGTTTGCAGAGCTGTGCACAAACAAAAGCTGCAAAGCAAACCTCAATGAGCTAAACCACTGAAAGAAAGAACAGCTAAACTGTGTGTGATAGTACTCATTTCTATGGATTGAAAGCCTCAATGTTGTAAAGCATTACTGGCTCTTAGTTAGGTAATATTATATCTTCTATCATTACTATCTTCTATCATTCTATTATTACTGTATTTTAGAGCAAACACATTGCCATGAAACCTTTAAGTCACTAACTTAAAGCTGGTTCAAAACACTGAACATGTATTTGTCAAGTGATATGAAGACTTATTCAGATGATCCCTTTCAAAAGCGTAAAAGTCCTTATTAAGTCCAATATCGTGTACTTTCCTTTTGCTAACACAGAGTTAACTGCAGCTGAACTTTTTCAGTAAAATTGGAGGCTGGCAGACAACATTGTTCAGCTGGTTCAGAAGCCGCTACACACAGAAACGCACACCAAAGTAAATCCGTTGGCAAAAATTCAAGTAGGAGATTTAACTGAGAAGGATTTTCTGAATTCCTGTGGAACATTAGCACTGCCTGGCTGGCTGGTATCGCGGACACCACTATCGGGAAATGCTCCGCGTAAGTGTGCAGCTCAAACTGAAATCTGGAGCAAATGAAACAAAGGCTGACGGAAAAACGAGGCTACGTCCGAAGCAGCGTTGAAGGGCAAAAATGTGGACTGTAGATAGGGATCAAACACACCCTGGCCAAACATAAAGCACAAGGCAGAGCGACAGTAGACCTGGGGCAGGAGAAACGGAAACAAAGGGATCATACAGAGTTTATTTAACAGGGCAGAGAACATTAAATCACTTTTCGGTAAATAGCCCCTACAGAATCTGGAAGTATCACCAGGTCGACCCACCCGTCTGTTCAAACAGCCGCTAAAATACAGAAACCGACCTCACTTTGTAGGCATTACTTTACACATTGGGTTCATTCCCTGGTCAAATGAACCTGCAATAGGTGGGGCGCCGAAAATGAGCCTTCTGGAACAAAGAAAGCAACAGTGGAAGAACTTGATCTGAACTTTGAAAAAGGACTTTTTAGCAAAACACACAAGGAAAAAGCAAGTCCAAAGTGTTTGGAGTTACGACCCCCCAAAAAAGGGCAGCAAATCTTTAAAAATCCCATTTTTAAGCTACAGAAATTTCTGAAAACATAACAACCAAAAAGCACAAATACATTGCCTCATCCTTAGTCGCACTGCACGTGTAAAACTCAGTCAGATTTAAAAGTTATGCGTATAAATTAGAGCGTACACAACATGGACTAACGCGTGTGGCGGGACACTTTAAGGTGTTCCTCCTAAACTCAGACAAGTTACAAAATACCCTTCAAATTCTGACGGTTGACATCTTAATTACAAGTAAAACACAGACACCACAAAACACAAATAAGGAGAAACTGTAAAAAGCCCTCTGCTTGTTTTTAATATCATCACACTGGTATGTACTCATGAGACAAGGGGCCCGATTGAAAGAAAGATAAGAGAAACCTTAAGATACGCTTTGCCTCGGCACGCCATCAACCCTCATAATTCATCCTCATCTTTAATCAACCTCCAAATTTGCGTCCTAAAAGCGACCACACAGGCGGGGAGTGCTGCTGCAGAGCGATGGGCTTCCTCCACCCCGCTAGAAATGAAGGATCTCGGCGTTGGTGTTAATAATTACAAGCCGAAGCCACCGTCCCATCGCCATGCAACAGAGCCCTCGCGTTTTCACAAACACGCTTCTGACACCGGAGACGAGACACTAGTGTTTATCCACCCATTTGTACAGGAATCAGGAGAATTCCTGAGCTTCTCCTGTCCTAACTGGCCCTTCGGTTTCTTCTGTGACCCACAAACTAACTCACGGGACTATATTTGTTATGCTTGAAGAATGTTTTCTTTAAAGATATTCAAAGCCACACATACTCCATTTTCAGTATAGTTAAGTCTTAAAATTCCATTTGACCCTTAATATATTGAAGTTCATTAAGTTCTTTTCCGGGAGACGAAGATGCTACGGGTTGCAGTTTTTCTGGGGGAATTTGTGCCCATTCTTGTTATTCTTAACTTGTATTGAATATACTGTCCCCATACATTAAACTTTCAGGGCTTCAGCATAATTGGATTTACCTTTAGACTTAGTTTTTTGGTTTAAGAACTCGAGAACTCTAAGTGACTTTGAAAATGAATGCAACATACCAAAAACCAACAGGTGGCCTTGGAGTGACTGGTCACCATAAAGTCATTAAATTTCACATTTTCCTTATTCAACATAGTGTCCTTTGAAAGTACCATTAACCTTTCAGTTTGCAAGTGAATGAGGCAGAATGAAAGCCGGAAGAACCCAAGTGGGGACCAGAAGCCGTCCATCAGAACTAAATCATTCAGTACAAAAGTGAAGACCATTTTCTCTGCTTTTTAGCATGGAAATATTAAATGTCAAAAAAAGAAAACCTAGGTCGACACACCGCCTTGCAGAGCCTCTGGCCGCGTAACAGCTTGTTGTTCCAAAGTGTTCCACAGTGTTCCACAGTGCTTCTCATGGAAGACGCACACGGGAAAGGTCACCCAAAAATACCTCCGAGGCACTTTGCAGAAACACAGAGACCCAGAGAGAGAGTGGGAAATGTCACCTGTCAGAAATGCCGTCAGAAGGATGGACAAAAACCACACAAACACACCTGCCAGGCCCCGCCACGGGTCCGGTCCAGAGCCGGCTGGACCTCCTTCCATCCCCGGCCCCATGGGGAGATCTGAAAACTGTCCCTCACTGGGCTTGAACTGTGCTTTGGTTTGGGTTTATTGGACTTTGGTTTTTGGTTTAGTTTTTTTGTTCTAGTTTGGTGCCATCATTTTGTTTTTCATGGTGGGATTAGACTGATTGTGACATAGACGGTGACAAGTGATGAACTGTGAGTATATATTTTATGTTTTAAGGGTCTTTGGGTCTTAAGCAAATGCATGGGACAAAGTAGAATATAAAACATTTGGATGTTTTCTAATTAAATGTTAGTTTCACTGCCATGCATCACAGTTGGCACGTGTCTCGATATCTTTCCGATTCCTAAACTTGCTGATAACATCTATTTAATGCAGTTTTATGCAATCGGTAATATGTTTTCAAGCACTGAGGCTGAGTCAAGTTCATTATCACTGAGGTTTACAGACCGATTCTCACCAACACACAGTAAAGAAGCCTTCTTCCAGTTAATGATCCACAGGGAGACTGACCTACATACCTGTGTGCAGGTGAGTTTGACATGTGCAATCAGGGAATATATTGCTATAGATTGGAGGCTTCATCCAGCAGAAAGAATTAATCTCCACCGGTGACAAACCCAATTTCTCCCAGGAATCAAAATCAACTGGTCAAACAGGGGAAATTCAACTTTGCATTTCAAAGGTGCTCCTCAGTTACAATCACATTCCACAAATATCCCACATTCTTAAGTTTTTAAATCCTGAAACATAAGCTTGACTAAACACAGCAGATTTAACATCCCGGGTGGGAGGAAACCGATACGGGAGACGTGACCGTGGCCGTTCATTAGAGGAAAAAGAGGAAAAAGCCAATTTCAGAACTGTCTTTAACAATTCATTTTATTATTTTTATTTGACCTTTGTCCAGGTGGTCTTATTTTTTTAAACTGATCTGTGTAGGACCTCAAAGGGGAGCTCTTTCACCGCAGTCGAATTCATTCCTGAATACAAACCAGCCACAAACACGGACGTCTGATTCTTCAGCTCCAATAAAAACACGTTTGACAGTTTTTTCTCGTAGAGTTAGTTTAGAACTGGGGAGCAGACAACTTTGTTCAATATGTCTCCGCTCTCCATAATGCAAAACACTGCACACCATAAAGGGATTGCACAATGAAGTTGTTCATTTCTTTCCTTTTCTATGTTGGGATTAATGAAGCGGCTCGATGCCATTTGATGGCTGAATGCAAACAGAGGCATGTCTTTTGAAATCTCAGAAGCTTTTGCGTTTTGCCGCTGTATCAACTGTGCTTACATGAATGAAGGGCTTTCATCAGTGTTGTGTTCTTGTGATTCATCCAACCTTTGGCCTTCTTGTCATGAGATCTTCTCATCGTTTAAATCATCTTTAATTAAACAGTCCTCTTAAACTGTAAAACACATCAAAATAGGCCTTTTATATTCAAAATTTCAAGGCCTTTTACCTTTTGTTCTGCTTCAAATCTTTTAAGTTTCAGGTTTCAATGACTTCCTGTCACATATATGTGTGTTCCACAGCTAATTGTTTCAACTTTTTCCCGTTTTTTCACCTTCATTCGGCATTCTTACTCAAATCTGCATTCTCATTGCTGTTTCGGAAGAAAAGTTCTTTCTAGTTAAACCTTCAATGTTAAATTCAAGTTCTATCAGTTTAGAAAAAATACATTTATCAAAAATGCATTTCTTCTGAGGAGCTGGATATATGTCTGGTTCCCACTGATAAAGTTGTGTATTTAAAAAAAAAGGCTTCATATTATAGGACTTAAATAAAGCATTCACATCCCTTCTTTCTATGACTATATAACGAATCTGAAGGTCTTCAGTCACCTAAGCATATTCACTTATTCTTGCTTTAACTATGACTTATAAAAAAAACGTATAAATTCAATAAAACGTTCACCAAATGCTCCTGCTCATTAACCAGACATCTGGCGACTTAGCTTTACAATCATTACACGGAGCAGCAGGACAAAGGGCGGAAACATCCTTTTTAAGGGGTTTTACAATAAAGGCAATTTGAGGGCAAATTTAAAGGAAGAAAAAGACCAAGAGATGAGACATTTTCTACTCACCCAGCATGAGCAGGCTCAGCAACGTGGTCATGATGGCGGTCTGGATGCCTGGACCTGCGGTGTGGACTCCAGGCCGCTTCTCCCACTGTCAAAACACACAAACCACCTCAGAACGTGTCAAAGAAATCAGTGAAGGGTCAAAGAAGAAGGATCATTTAGAAAACACCCCCATAAAACTGCCAGAATGACAGAGAGGGGGTCTCAGTCAAGCCTTTGTTTCTTCACTTTCTTCACCATGAATACTGTGTTCATTACTGCTGCTTAAGCTCCAGCTTTCCACATTACTTTTTTTTTTATTATTTATTATTTCATTTAAAGGAGCTAACCCAGTCGGAGAGAAAACAGGACCGTTACAGTCAGCGAATAAATGCAGATTTTGCTCATTTTTTGTCAACAAAACAACAAAAAGGGTTGTAGAGTAGCATTTGTAACAGTCCTCCAACTCACTTGTAAAAAAAAAAAGGGTCATTTTGCCTTTGAAAAACTACTTTAAAGAAGGCGCGGCTGCCAGGCCCCTCCTCCCCTCCATCCAGAGAGGCCCCGCATGGCACTCGTCTCCAAAAACGCAGCGAGCAGAAAGATCTGCAGAGACCCACATGGCTGTCTGCCACTGAGAGGCTCAAGAATTCCCCCGTGATCCATTTCTCTACACCCACTTTGTCCAGTTTAGGATCTCACTGTGGCTGGAGCCTGTCCCAGCTGCCATTATTATGTCACCTCACAATCATCTTTTTGTACACTTGAACTCGTGTGTTCAACCTTGTTATAACTAAATAGATTCAAATGACTCTATATCTCTTTAACAACCTGCTCTAGCATTTGGTTGAGCGCATTTTTTTTACAGATCATGCTTGGTCTTATCAGAGTCAACCACCTAAACCAACTCATTTTTCCTTGGCTTTTTTTCTTAATGTGGACACGAAATGGACATTGTGCCGCAGGCCACTGGCTGAGGAGCTTGGAAAAAAGTACGACACACCTGCTAAGCTGTTGTTAAACTTTAACAGAGGAGCAGTTAAAGAGCTTACAGTTTAGCCACAAGTTACAAGTTGCCGACGACAGGTTGGAGACACATTTTGAGCTAAATTAAGTTCGACTAGACCTCAGAAAGCCGGGAAACATCGAGGGAATGGTTGGCCTCCTTCTCAGAGAGCGTTGCGGCGATAAAGTCGGATCAATCCGACACAAAGTGAGTCCCGGCTTGTACTCACTCGGTCACTCTGCTCCACCCTGCGTGGCCAGAGCCGGACGCTCCGTCTCTGCACGCCACTCTCACTGGGCGCTGAATGGCTCTCCCTTTATTTCCGACGCACGTGTGCGAAACCCCCCTGGCCCTCGATGTGTGCGTTTACGCGTGCATGCACATGTGCGAGGTGCGCGCCGGGCAGAATGTGTAAAACAAACCGGGAAGCATAACTGATGGCAGCGATGTAAAAACAGACCGGACCCTGCAGCCAATGGGGACAGAGTGTGGACGGGACCCCCTTCATCCCTTCCCTCTCCCCCTTTATCTCCCTCTCTCTCCCTCCAGCTCGTCACCGGGGCACTGGGGTGAATGGGCAGCTATTCTTATTCTAATTCCTCTGTCACTCTGTGGGCTGCAGCCTGAAAGAGGGGAACGGTCTCCAGGCTCCTGGAATGCGCCACCCCTTTCTTCTGGACAACCGAGTGAGGGCGAGGGAAGAGGGACGGAGGAGGTCAGAGAAAAGGAAGGAGGGGAAGAGGAGATAACGGGAGGGGAAAAGCAGTGGGAAATAATGGAGCAGAGAGAGTGAAAAAACGCCCAAATCGATGTAAAAAAAACAACAAAAAGCAGCACATTTATCTTTTTCCGTTGGAGATATGATGTCACCGCTGTCCTAAAGGACGACTCACACTCACAAACACTCCTTACAAACACTCCTGAGTACTAGACAGGGTTAAAAGTAAGCCTCCGCTCATTTTTCTCCAGTTATTTTGTCATTTTAAAGAAGATTTTAAAAGAAAAATGTTCAATTCCACAGAATAACTTTCAGGTGACATTTCTAAAATGTCGACATGACATTGCATGAATCATTCAAATGAGGCTGATAATGTATGCCTCTTCTTTTTTATTTTTGCTTCTGTTCTGTTTTCTCTTTTCCTCAGTTCCCCACTTTTTATGTTCTCAGCCCCACTGCCTCCACCTGAGCTCACGCCCTCAGTTGCCACCATTCGCTAATCTTCCTCTTTCTTCTTTAAGCTGCGTGTTTGTCTCAGGCATTGTCGCCCCGTTTTCTTCAAAGGTTTGTGCTCCCTGTAGCTTATGCTCCTGCTTTTGCTTCCCAGTGTTTGTCAAAAGAATTTGTCTAAAAATCTGGGATAAATCTATTTTAGGAAAAAAATTACAATTCAATTTATTTAAAACAAAGACTCCTACAGCCCTGTTAAGATGACTGGATTAGACAAAAGAAAAAGAAATGAGTGAGTAGGTGCACGTTTGTGCCTGCGAGCATTAGATATATGTATGTGTGTGGGTCATGTGCATGCATGTGTGTGATTGATGCCAAGACAACTAGAAAACTGCAGGAGAGAACAAAGCAGCATTCACATGCAGCTCTCTGCTGATGTGACCTCTGACATCTACTAAAGAGAGACATGAGGAGGCTCACACAGGAGGAGGCGG